ACTCCTCGCGGATCTTGCTGATGAGCAGCGTGCCCATGCCCGAGCCCGTGCCGCCGCCCAGCGAGTGCGTCAGCTGGAAGCCCTGCAGGCAGTCGCAGCTCTCCGACTCCTTGCGCACCACGTCCAGGACCGAGTCCACCAGCTCCGCGCCCTCCGTGTAGTGGCCCTTCGCCCAGTTGTTTCCCGCTCCGCTCTGGCCTGCCAGAGGGAAGGAGACTGTTAGACACTGAAACATAAGGAGGTTCAAATTCTCTCGTTTTCACCGTGGAGGAAACGGTAGGGCTAGTCCTAGAGTGGCAGATTCCTCTCTTTTACATATCCTTTTCATTTATCTAAAATTTTCCCCATATATCCGTGACCCTCAAAAACACAGAGGATCGTAATAAAATAAAAAATGAATTTAGTTCATATGAGGCTATTGAGGAGGAAGATTGGGTTAAAAAAATTAATGGATCAGTTTTTTAAAAAAGGTCTTTGTTGTTCATAACAGGTTTGAAACTTGCATTCCTGTGTCAGACGGGTGGAGCTGGGGGTCCCCCAGTGTTTGAGACATCTAAGTCACCATGCAAACTAATAACCTAACAAACTAATGAGCTAGAGAAAAGAACAAAAGAAAACAAAACTTACTGGGCTTTAAAATACATTTTAAACCCTGACATGCATTCTGTAAGCACTCAATTTAGGTACAGTTAGCCAGGATGTGATCAGCAGAGAAAACGGCCCTAAGCAGTTGTCCACACCTCTGGTCACTCCTTGTGCTTGGACCTCAGGCTCCTTGAAGTGGTTCCTTGTTGCCCTGGTCCTTTAAAATTACCTGCAGCCTTTAAGGCCTGCTTGAGGCTTCTCTTGGCCTTTCTTCTTTCCCTTCAGAGCTGCTCTGTGCCGGGAGGGCTGCAGCAGCCCTGTCCAGGCTGACATTGATCTCTGAGCTGTCCAGAGGGCGGCCAGAGCCAGGACCACCGTGGACTGGGAGGGTCGGGTCAGGCAGGACTCGGGGCTGCCTGTGGACACAGTCTCGCCCGGGCACTGAACGCTAGGAACTGAGGCGTGCACAGCTGTGGGGAAGGAGGCGAGCCATCCTGCCAGCTCCCGCTGATGGTGCCTACATACCGAACACGAAGTTGTCCGGCCTGAAGATCTGGCCGAATGGTCCGGACCTGACGGAGTCCATCGTGCCCGGCTCCAGATCCACCAGGATGGCCCGAGGGACGTATTTGTTACCTGCGGGGAAGAAGAGCCCACTTAGCCCTCGGTTGGCAGAGGACCCTTGGGCAGGGCTATGCCCTCTGTGGCTCTCACAGCAGAATTCTTTAGAGAAAATTCCAGCATCTGAGACAAAAGGAGAACAGGGGAGGTTTTCTGCCCATAAGAAAAGGGAGATTCTGAGCATGCTCAGCCATTTGGAGCAGGCAGGAGTCCTAAGGAACCATACAGTGTATTTTCTAGCAGTTGCCATTTTAAATGAATATGCAAGAAGCATGTGTTTGTCATTTGCATGCTCCTAGGACATTTCACCTGCCACAGTATGCAAAGCAAGGTCGACAGGCCGAGCACATCCCAACACTCACCGGCAGCCTCGTTGTAGTACACGTTGATTCTCTCCAGCTGCAAGTCACTGTCTCCATGGTAACTGCCTGTGGGGTCGATCCCATGCTCATCGCTGATGACCTCCCAAAACTGAAATGAAAGAATCACATCATGCTGTCTGTGGCATCCTAATGTCACCAAGCATGGCCTTGTCTTCCTCCCATGTCCTTGGAACAGCAGCCATTGCCGCCAGACAGTTTCTGCACAGCCCCTATTTCCTGCAGCAGCTGCTGCTGGGGCTTGGAAATCTGCAGAGCATCGCCATAATATGGCGACAGGCTGGGAGGCTGGGAGGACGCTGGAGGGGGAGGGGCACAGCAGATGCCCTTCCAGGGGCAGGGGTGGCAGTGGGGAGGATCTGAGGGAGGGTCTGTCACCCCAGGCAGGGCTGAGTGTGGCTACATCCCTGCTGACGGGTGGGTCCTGGCAGGACTGAGGACAGGCGGACCCCGCCCGGCAGCTGCCTCCAGCCATCAGAGTTTCCTGCAGAGACCCCAGGCGGCCCTCCAACAGCACAGGTCCATGCCACTGACCCCAGCAGGAAGGGCCGGGGAGGGCAGACAGCAGCCTGGAGGGCGCCTGGGTGGCCACGTAAGGAGCTGGCCCTGGCGAGGGCGCTGACTCCATTGTGAGTTTGCAGCAGGAGAGGGGCAGGGAGGTTGGGGTGGGCAACATGGCGCTTTAGAAAGAGACCATGTCCTTGCACAGGTGCCCGCCCACACCCGTGCACCAGGCCCGCTGCCGCCTCCCCAGTGCAGTCGGTGACCGCAGCCCCACCCGATGCAGTCGCCTGCCGCCTGGCAGTCGGGAGACAAGAGCATGGCGTTCTATGTCATCACGTCTAGACAGTGCCGGTGCAGGGAACTGATCTAACACCCTCGTGTGTGGGGCCCAAAGGGAAGCCTCTCTCACATCTGTCATTCCAGTGACACTGCATTTTTTTCATTCAAACGACATACAAAAATATACAAATTTAATTTCACATGCGGCTACTGGATAAATACGATCGTAGCCCCGATCCAAGTTCCGGAGACTAATACACTGGGAATGCTAGCTGCAGCCCACAGAAGGGCTGAGTCCAAAGGAAATTTAAAAGGCCTGATTACAGGCACACAGAGCTGCGTCGCCGCGGGCACCGTGGCAGGTCGAGCAGCTTCCTGGGACCCGCCCGGCGGCCTCTCCGCAGAAGGTGCCGCCCGGGCGGCCTGGGGCCGCCGCGACCTCCCCGGCCCAGCCAGCACCCTCGCGCCCCCGCACCCCGGCCCGCCCGGGGCGCGCCCACCTTGGCGCCGATCTGGTTGCCGCACTGGCCCGCCTGGATGTGCACGATCTCGCGCATGGTGCCGGCTGCGGAGCGGGTGGAGGCCTGGCCTCGGAGCAGTGCGCGCGGAGGGTCGGGCGAGCTCGGCGGCGGCGGAGGACGGGCAGCTCCCCGCACCCGCCCGCGCCGCCTTTAATGCTGCGGACCCGCCCAGCCCCGTGACGTCATGGGGCGGGCTGCGGCGCGGGACGCGGGACTGCGGCACCGCGAGGGGGAGCCGGGGCGTGGTGCGGGTGTGGGGCGTCCAGGCCCGGGCCGGCGGGCTCCTGGCCCTGAGGTTCGGCGGCCAAAGGCGGGGGCCAGGCCTCGGTCCCAGCCGGCCGCCCTCCCCGTCCGGGGGCGCGGCCGCACCGCCCTGGCCTTCGCGTCGCGCGGTCCCCATCCCCCTGCCCACCCTGGCCCTGGAAAGCGGCTGGGGACCCGAGCCCCGGAAGCAGGGAGGGGCCGCCCCCAGCAGGGTCCCGCCTGCGCGGCGCGAGAGGCTGCGGCGCCCTCGCAGCGGCAGCCTGGAGTTGAAGGCGCCTTTTCCGTGGGCGCCCGGCCGTTCGCCCAGGTTTCCTGCACCCCGGGCGGGTCCCGCTCGGGCCTCACTTTCTATTCCGAGTGGGAAATCTTGGCGAGTATAAACGCCGGGGGAGCGCAGCTGGCGGGTGGGGGGCCCGGGGAGCTGATGGGCAGCTGCCTTCGAAGAAACCTCGGACAGCAGGGCGGGCGGATTTCACTTCTCTATGTAAGGAAGATGCTGGGCCTGGGAGACCCCAGGAACAGTGCTCGGTGCTGGGTTTGTCGCGTGTATGCTTTGGGCTCTAGAGGCCTTTAAAGGCCTCTTAAATGGGGAACATTCTGCGTGCGTGCGCGTGTGTGTGGGTGTGTGTGTGTGAGAGAGAGAGGCGCGCGCGCGCGTGTGTGTGTGTGAGAGAGAGAGGCGCGCGCGCGTGTGTGTGTGTGTGTGAGAGAGAGAGAGGCGCGCGCGCGCGTGTGTGTGTGAGAGAGAGAGGCGCGCGCGCGCGTGTGTGTGTGTGTGTGAGAGAGAGAGGCGCGCGCGCGCGTGTGATCGCACCGCGAGCCCTCAGTGGTTTTTGATATTTAGGGTTGTTTACATATAGACAATTCTTCTTTAGATAACTTTCAGCGAAGTTATTGTGTGATGAGTGAGTATTACCATACAAGAAGATTTAGTTATTAGAGATGCTAAAAGGAGCAAAGAATGTTAGTTGTACCACTGAAGCCGGGATTAATTATAAGCACCCAGGTGCGTGGTGAGGAACCATAGACAGGCTTCTAATCACCTTCACACGAGAATACCATGTTCAAGTTCCTCTTTTTTCTAATAGTTTCGCAGATGCCAACAGGGAATTTGCTCCGAAGAATAGCACAATGGGATATGTGTTGTAGGACCTCTATTTAAGGCCGTTCATTTCCTACGCCACCGTGTGTATTTACAGTGAGGAGTTCTTATTATACCATTGTTTTGAACTGGAGAAAGTATGACGTCAAAACCATCAGAGATCCATTGAGGCATTGTGTGTGGTTGGTGTGCGCATGTGAGTCTGGAAGCGTTCCTTGTTTTTGTGTCTGTTTGAAAAGGGTGTGAAAATAGGTCAACAGCAGATGTCGTTTCTCATGACCATTCTAGCTCGGTGTAAGATAATTTACTTTTTGGAAAGTGAAGTGGAAGTGCTTTATACGTTTGGTCACCCTTCTCAGTGGAACTGACTCTACTGTGTAGCAGGACAGCTCGATAATTGTATTATTGCCGGTTCTGCTGCGCGAGCCATCCATAGTTCCGCATACAACAGAGACCAACACACACAAAACGAATTCGATTTTTAAGTGTAGGTGTAGAATCCGGGACAGATTCAATTAAGAGAAAAGGAAAGATACTTGAATGCGACTATCAATTGAAATATATCCTCGCACAACACAACTCCAGCGAAAGGTAGAATTGACATACTTTTCTTCATTCTCAATATAAAAACTTCATAGCATCAAAGTGTTATCCAGTAACTGTTCTAGTCCTTAGCATGCATACCAAGGCGATCCCATATGATTAGGACCAGATCCTCTACATGAAGCTTGTAAGAACACGAAAGGTGAATTACGATTTATGACCCACCTCTTATATCTATGCATAATATATAACGATTTTTGAATCTATTTCAGTATATTGCTTGACGAGCACTGTAGAACCGCCACCGGACTAATAAAAAGGAATTCCAGACATGTGTTTAGTGCTGACCCAGTTTCGCTTCCTTCGGTATCAGTAAATACTTAGCCAAGTAATCAGTAACAGCGTCAGAATTCCATGATATGTACTGAAAGGAAGACAGTTCTTAAATACAGCGCTGGGGAGCCCTTCGCCGTCAAAATCGCAGCTATTATGTGGCTTATTAGAAATTGCGACTGACCAGGCATTCACATATTTCTTGAGTGGTCGGGCTCACTAATAGATCAGTGACTAAGGACATAGTACGGAAAACATCTGGTTCTCAGTTCTTTTTCTGTGTGGTACCATATCCTTTTGTTACTAAGGCAGTAACATTTTGACATCTATTTATTGTGGAAGCATCAATGAGAATGTGTGTCTGAATACCTTATTACAAAGCAAAACGACTGTAATTCACTAGATGTTGTAATAATGCAATGGACATCCTTATCCAGATATAGTTGCGAGCTCGGATATTTACCTATTCTTTAATTCTAAATAATCATGTGTCGGGATTTTTATACTGTTTAGACAGTTCGGATAATCTACGAAAAAAGTAGGATGCTGACAGACCCACAAGACATTTTAATAAGAAATTCATACATGTACTCTGGACCACAGTGTATTATTAAAACAGAATTAAAAAAGAAGCTTTCAGAAATACAAAGTGGAAGTAGGTTACAGCACATGATGTATAACACATTACAATTATAAACCGAATAAATACATGTAGTTTGAAATGAATAGGACACAGAAATTCAAGGCAAATATGTACACGCCTAATATCACTTTCTCCATTATAACAAATAAGAAGACAAATGAAATCATGCAAATGGACATCGAATCATCAATATTACTTATAGGGATTGGAAGAAAATATCTGAACTATCAAGACCCAAAGAGACTGAATGGAGAACTTGTTTTCCCGTCTCCTACGCATGTACAGAGCAAACTCTGAATAAAAATTTGAAGTTTCAAGAGTCATTCTTTGTCCAAAGACAATGCACATCTTTCTTTCTTTCTCAATTGTATACAGGGGTTATTATCAAATTCATCACTTACAGAAATGAATCAATGCAATCTGGCACTCTTGCTGAAAACAAATGGTAAATTTCCATTCATGGATGAGTGAAGAAAAGAATAGGTGGGCCTTCTACACCATAGTATCCTCTAAGGATAGTTTCTTATATACACTCAATATCACACAAGATTGTGGCCGTCAATGAAAAAGGGGAGAGATGGCGGAAAATAATATATGAAATCAAGATGACTGCAGAAACATAGGAATAAAAAGAAAGCAGAGATATATGTACTGAAGATTTGAATCTGATTGGAAATAAAGAGTCATAACTGACTCTAGATCAAATAAAGGAATTGGAAGAAAAAGTGAAAGTTCCAAAAATACTGTGTGAGAATTATACACTGAATTAAATAGAGTGCGATAGGAATGAATGAAGATAGTGGATTGAGATGGGCTGAATTGGGAAAAACTTATAAAAATAGGATCATAGTATGTAAGCATAATCGGGACTGGTGGATGAATTAAAAATAAATCTGAAATGAATTCTTATATGAAAGATAAATGTTTCCCGATCATAGACAGACATGTTGTGTTGTACTTTCCCTCGACTTTCTCACAGAGTGGCTAGTTAAATAACTGGTCAAAATTAATTTCTCAGAATATATCTAATTATATCTACAATCCATTTAGAGTATAACATTATTCATTTAGCAAATAATAAACAACAACCACGTATACTGTAACGTATCGACCTCTCTCGCATAGTTTGCCTATGTGTGCGTTAAAAGATTAAAATACGATATACCTCCTGATCAATCAGATATTTTCGCTAAATAGTAGAAGCTATGGCCGAAGAAAGCTATAATCAGGCAAAATTGCTCTATAAGTTTCTCACGTAATACAAGAAGACTTTTATATCTACTGAGCTTTCTTGGTTTAGATGAGTAGCTAGAAAACACAATGTTAATCACACCTAATAGAGACCTTGACGTAAAGTCTAAACAAAAGGAAATAATATTAAAATTCAGTGGAGCTCTTGCATTCATTCGGCCAAAAAACAAAACACCTACTAAATATTTAAGAAAAGTATGCTTTAAAACAAAACATATGTTATACAGAATATGAATCAGATTTAAGAGTATATATCAGAAACACTTCCTATTCTAACCACTTATATGGCTAACAATCAACAGGAACCATTCTTCAAGAAAGAAATTGCCTCCTTTTGCTATAAGAAGCTTCGAATCCTGACCTTGTCTGTGAACATGTCCAGTATAATACATTTATACATTTACATGAATTAGGGGGCTGAAGCTACTATGTTCCATTATCTTTGGGGAGTGTTTGATTCAGGGTGGGCAAATGCATAATATATGATTATGTATTAAATAAACCTGCCTATTATTAAAAAGTTTTTGTGATTCTATGCGAGCGTCCCATAATAACAGAGTAATAGCAGGCTAATTTGAGATGGAAGAGTCGTAAATTGATTATATACTCCTGTATAAATTAGTTATCTAATTAATAAGAAGTTTAATTAGACATTTAAAGTTATCAGTCAATAGTAGGCTTAAAGAAGTAAAGTGAGTAAAAGTCCACCTTCTGCAAAGGTATACAACTCATTGATGTCCAGAAAATTTACAGAAATAGTGAACTTATCGTGATGTTACTCTTGATCTACAAAGATTAACATCATCTAAAACGAACTTAAAACATTATGGATTGGCCAAATTACAAAGGATATTGCAATTATCAATTTGTTCCTGTTCTTTATGCTCCAGGCTTTTATGCCCTATTTTGTAAGCCATTAATGTTGTAATCAACAATATATGTGCTAAAGATTATTGGTCATTTGAATTACTATTATTGAGATACTTGGCTTGACATCTTTTAT